AGAACAACATTGTCTCCTACACGGCATACAAACGGTCAAGTCATTGGCTACTCAAACATTTGTTCGCCCATAAATCTACAGTTCGAAGAAAACAGTTTCTGGACGATTCAACATTTGACAACATTTGACGACTTTCAACATTTAACCTTCTGAAGGTCACTCTAGCAAATTATCTAACTATCATTTCGGACGTAAAATTTCCCGCTCTTTCCGAATCCGATGTCAAAAATAGGGGTTCCTATTAAAAAAAAATCACCGTAACCTTCAAATAACCTTGAAAATTTACCTCAAGGTCAAAACCAACAATGCAGAAAGATGGCCAACATTGTCCTGAACAACTTTTGTCGGAAGCATTTTTCTCTAAAACACTTATTTTTCAAAATATTTTGGGTGAAGGATTAAAATGGGACACTCTGTATACAAGTTTATTTATAATTATATATCATCCTTTATAATCCTTTTTTATTATATTAGCCGTTATTTATAGATTGTAATAATACTATATCCGATGAAAAAGTTTATTAAACATTAAAATTGTCTCATTTATCGTTCCTGTGCTTTTTGCGTGTGCGTGTGCGCGTTCGTGCGTGCCTGCGTGCGTGCGTGCGTGCGTGCGTGCGTGCGTGCGTGCGTGCGTGTGTGTGTGGGCGCGCGCGCGTGTGAATGCAGGATATATTTTATTGTAGGATATATTTATTTTATAATTCTACGTTACAGTATATTCACTGTCGCTACGCTATACATAATAAAAAGAAATCGATAGAGGTTAAATGCGTACGTGCAACAAAGACAACATTAATAAGATTGAAAGACCGCTATGTTAAACATAATGCTTTAAATTAAGAAGCGCCATAACGGTCAGAACGTTAAGATGTTGAACTATTGTAAATTCATTTAAATGAATTAATTTCAGAAATTATAATTGCGTGCCGATATGGTCGGACTTTCAACGCAATCAAATCTGAAAATATTAATAATCCACTCAAATTTTCCAACTTAAAAACTGTAATAAACTTATTGCGAAAAATAATGCCTCGGCCGGGAGTCGAACTCGGATCTCTTGCATTCCGTGCGAGCATCCTAAGCCTTTAGATCACCGAGACCTTAGCATTATTCTTCGCAATAATCGATATGTATAGAGAGTTACGTATTTCTCGGCACGAGTGTATAAATTGTTATGCGCGTTCGTTTATAAAATTTATTTTAACTTCTTTTTAATTAAATGGTCCTGAAAAGGACCGTTTTATATTTACAAATTATGTAGCCCTGAAAAGAGCTGTTTTTATAAAAAATCTAAATTAGTTTCTTTCTAAAAGAGATGGAAGGTTTAATCTTAGTAAACTGCTTCAGTCCCCAAAGTCTTTTGCGGTTGAGATCTAATTGTAAGTGGTATGATCCTGGAGGTGAGCCTAGTGGTGTGTAGCTTGGTGGTGTTCCTAGTGGTGTTCCTGGTGGTGTGAAAGGTCCTTTCTGCGATGCGAAGTCGCTCTGTGTTTCCTTGCTGACTACCTCTGGTCTGTTCAGTGTTCCTCGGTGAACTCTGGGAACCGGCTGGGTCTGCGTTGCTTTTGAGGAGAAGTCGCTTGGAGACCTTGGCAGCGGAAACAGGAGCTGCAATGGTACTGAGTAGCTTGGAGAGAGAGGTCTTCTAACTCTGAGGTCGTTTCTTGCCAGGAGGAAGCTTGGAGGTCTTGTGAGAACCGGCGACGAATTCTCCACCTTATAAAGCTGCCAGGTGATGATAGGGGAAGTTGATTCTCCTGGTTGCTCGGCTACCGCTGCATGCCTTGGTGATGCAACCTCTCGAATCTGCGACGGCTCGCTGAATCTCGCTGAGGAAAATTTCTTCCACCAGAGAATGATCCGTGATCGATGTGAGGCAGGCTCCACGGTTATACCACAAAAATGATGAGACTCTCGCGGTATGTTGCAAGAGTAAAAATCGAGTCGTTGCTGATGCCCTTTTATAGCCGATCGGGACGTTTTCGAAATATGAGAAAATCTATCGAAATGCGCCTTTTATTAATCTCTTGAGAAATTAATTCTTTTCAAATCACTTCAAGTAGATCTTGAAAAACAAATGCGTTCGTATGAAGTTTGCTCCGTTCAAGCGTTCGAAATTTATGTGGTGTCAAATAGACCGCCACAGAAAGTTACTAGTTAATGGCGCGGTTCCATGATGCGGAACCATGGTGGAAAGATAAAGCCCATGGCACATACAAAAACGTAAGGTCGTAATACGTAAACAGTAAAGAAATCGTAAGATTGGATTCACTACTGGCCTTACGGTCTCTATCGTGATTGGCCAATTCGCTTACTGATTATGTCTTACGACCTTACGTTTTTGTATGTGCCATGGGCTTAACATGGTGTGTGCAGTTTGTAAGTGTCTCTCTCTAATTCTTTGCCCTCTCGCTCCTTTTCCGGTTCGGCATCCGGTGCTGTCAACCTAAAAACAAAATAATGTTGTCTTTAGGTTGACAGCATCCAGGAACACCACCAAGCTACACACCACTAGGCTCACCTCCAGGATCATACCACTTAGATCTCAGCCGCAAAAGACTTTGGGGACTGAAGCAGTTTACTAAGATTAAACCTTCCATCTCTTTTAGAAAGAAACTCTCTAATTCAGATTTTTTATAAAAACAGCCCTTTTCAGGACCACATAATTTGTAAATATAAAATCAGGACCATTTAATTAAAAAGAAGTTAAAATAAATTTTATAAACGAAGGCGCATAACGCGCATAACAATTTCCTTCACTTTCTATTAAATTATTTTAATTTCAACAATGTATTTAAAGAATGATGTACTAAATTGGTAAAATATGCATCAAAATGATTAATTAAATACACATATCATGTATATGTTTTCACGTTTCGTTGAAATTAAGATAATTCAATAGAAAGTTACTAGTTAGTATCCGTATCAAGTGCACGATGGCTGTATTCCAAATTTAATGGCCGCAGCACAGACTCTTGCATAACGCATAACGCATAGTGCATAAGCGAATCAACTAATCAGAATCTTTCCTTTCCTTCCATTCCATGGAAAAGAAGAATTTCGATTGGTCGATTCCCTTATGCACTATGCATTATGCGTTATGCAAAAGTCTGTGCCGCGGCCAATAGAAAGATAATAAGGGCCATGGCACACAAAAAAAACTTAAGCAGTAAACGAATTGATCAATCATGGTAGAGTCTGTAAGGCGTATAACGTAAGCAGTAGCCAATCCAACATGTTGATTTCCTTACGTCTTAGGCCCGTATTAATAGTCAGATAATAGCCGATGTAAACTAGGCAATTTGAGCGTCAAGTGGAACGTAGCCTAGATGCACCCATTGTGTAATTGAACTAACCTAATCTTATATAGAAAAATTTGTAACTATTGAAGATGAGAATACATTTGGCATGTTGTACAATGATACTGATTTCTTTTTCAATGTCGTGTCATACGTGGGAGGTACATCTCTTCTGCATTTCTTTCTTCGATTTACCCTCAAAAAGTCTGATTTCCCTATCATTTATTACTTATTCTTTTATTTATTATAGATAACGGATAACTTTGTGAAAACTGAACATTCCAATAATTGGGCTGTTTTAGTTGATACATCGCGTTTCTGGTTCAACTATCGACATGTTGCTAATGTTTTATCTATTTACCGAAGTGTCAAACGTTTAGGAATACCAGATTCGCAAATCATTCTAATGATAGCCGACGATATGGCATGCAATCCTAGGAATCCTAGACCAGCAACTGTTTTTAACAACATTAAACAGCATATTAATGTTTATGGCGATGATGTAGAAGTTGACTATAGAGGTTATGAAGTAACTGTAGAAAATTTTGTAAGGCTGCTGACTGGACGCTTAGCTCAGGGAACCCCAAGATCGAAAAAGCTATTAACAGACGAAGGTTCAAACATTTTAATTTATTTAACTGGTCATGGTGGTAATGGATTTTTAAAGTTTCAAGACTCTGAAGAAATCACCAGTCAAGAGTTAGGCGATGCATTAGAACAAATGTGGCAAAAACGGAGATACCACGAAATTTTATTTGTAGTTGACACTTGTCAAGCGAGTTCTATGTACGAGAAATTTTATTCTCCAAACATATTAGCAGTTGCTTCTAGTTTAGTGGGAGAAGATTCACTTTCTGTAAGTAAAAAGCATTTTTAAGTGTACTACACACAGCCATCAATCTATTCTAATATGTCATATTTATAGCATCATGTAGATCCAGCCATTGGTGTTTACATTATAGATCGATACACTTATTATGCATTAAATTTTTTGGAAAAAGTAGAACCATCTAGTACTAAAACATTAGGTGAATTTGTAAGTATATCTTATTGTAATGAAAAATATTAAATGTAAGTTCTTCTCTTATATTGATTAATTAAGATTAATATTTTCTAGTTGAAAGTATGTCCAAGAGATTATTGTCTATCTACAGTAGGTGTAAGAAGAGATTTGTTTAGAAGGGATCCAGATAAAGTACCGGTAATAGATTTTTTTGGTTCACTTAGGCCTGTAGAACTTACGACAAACATAATGAATATTTTACCTCTTAAATCTAATTGTACGAAAATTCAAGAATTTGAAAAAAAGTATAATTATGTTGCACAGTTTCCAGAAATAGTATCTCAGTATACATAAGTAAAAGCAATAAATGGGATACTTTTTATAATACATTGTTTGTGTAACTTTAATATATTGAAAAGGTTCTGTGGAAGATGATAAATTAAGGCAAAATGACAACTGTATATGTTTTTAGCATAAGACCATTTAAATTAATTAAAAGCATTATAAATCAATAAAACGACTTTATGCTGGATGCCTACTGACCCAGATATATATACTACGTATAAGCAGTTATGTTACGTTCTATGCATTTTGTGTACTATAGCACTTAGATGACGCAATTCATCATAAATTTGAATGATCGTCTGACTGTATTATACATTACACAATTAAATTATTGTATGTATAATAATTAGGAAATAAATGATTTTGGTCATAGTAAAAATTGTTAAAATTGTCATATTAAAATTCAGTTTAATGAGCTATAGTTAATATAGCTATGCTATACATTTTAAGTGTGCTATACATTAATGCTATGCATTAATCGATCTTGGCTCATTACTTTCATCAGCTGATTCATACAGAACATCGCACAAATTCAAATATTTATTTTTTGAATAATTGCTAAGCAATTTATCTAAGCTTTGTTTTAATTCGGTAAAAGTAGGTCTACTTTGTGGTCTTATATTCCAACATGAATACATTATGCTGTACCTAAAAAAATTTTTTTTAAGAAAGAGAATAAGTATAAAACTGAAAATTTATAGGAAATTGACGGAATTTAACTTGGCGGCTGGCGCCAGTTGTTTATATACATGAAAATTCGAAATCTGTTAAAGGAATTCTGTGTTTATAATATACATACAATTCTCGACTACAATTTGGTGGTCTCTCCATTCGATATCCGGATTTGAGGAATTGTAAAATTTTACTTGTGGGAGTATCAGGATAAGGCATGGCACCTAAAGTAACAATTTCCCACAATAAAATACCAAAAGCCCATCTATAATCCAAAATTTCATTGTCAACAATCAAATAGATGGCATAATGTACCTCAAACAACATAAAGTCTAAAATTATGACATAAGACGTCTTTAAGTTGTCTTTTAGACGCAAAAAACGTCTTATGACCTGATTTTAGACACTTTTTGTTGTCTGGGACTTATATAATTTAAAATAGAATGCATACACGTCACTGTAAGTAGTATATATTTGATGCGTTAAAGCCTCGATTGCCATCCATTTTAAAGGCAATTTACCATTTCCTTTCTTTCGATAAACATTCTCTTGGTAAATATCCCGGCTGAGACCAAAATCTGAAATTTTCACCACTCTGTCTGGTCGCACTAATACATTACGAGCAGCCAAATCACGATGTACTATCCGATTAGAAGATAAAAATTCCTAAACATAATATCCATCGTATTCTAATTTATATAATGTTAAAACAGAATTAAGAAAGTGATCGTACTATTTTAAAATATACAAACTCAATATAGTAATTATTAATATATAATTGACATGACTTACCATTCCTGTAGCTACTTGTCTAGCAAAATTCAATAAATCGGCAGAAGTAACATTTTCTACATATCTAGTTACATCTGGAAAAATGTTAACAGAATAATTATGTACTTACATATGTGCCTACATTATATATGTACATATATTCGATTGTATGCTGTGTGATTTACCTCGTTGAATATCATATAAGCGATTGGCGATCGTATGCGTATTTTGATAGTCGCAGACACATTTTTCTGAATAATAGAAAAATATTTCGTTCGAATATTTGAAATTATTATCACATAGTATATGTAAATATACATGTGTAACACACAGTGGGTGCATTCCATTTAATGTTCGCAACACTCGCGTGCATCATTTCATCCTTGTTTAACGTTTGATGAGAATAAGGATAGAATAATGCTTGCAAGTCGCAAGCGTTGCGAATAAGAAGTGGCACTCATTGGTTGCGTTCGGAAACGTCGCTCGGATGCCTCCGATACCTCGGATTCATCATCTGTCCTCGTTTAACATTTAATGTTAAAGAAGAACAGATGACGAATCCGAGACATCGGAGGCATCCGAGTGTCGTTTCCGACACAGCCATTGTAGACCAAATATATATATATATACACATTGTAGAGATACACACACACAC